CTTTTTAATTTTTATTTATTAAAAAACAAAGACAGGGCACTACCCCTCCGGCGGCTCCTCCCCCTTCCTCCCACGCCCCCGCTCCCCGCACCGGCCTGCGGCCCGGCAAGCACCCCACCGGCACCCTCACCCTCGCAGGGCCGAGCCTGGCCCCCTCTGCCAATTCGGCGCTTCATCCAAACCTCCAGCGTCAGCCACTCCCAGCCCTCGGGGACCCCTCAACCTCCCTCTAATGCCCCCTCCCCGGACACCCCCTCCTAGTGTAGGGGCAGGAGACCCGCATTGGGGACAAGCTCCCACCAGGTTTGTGGTTGCCCTGGGGCTGTGCCTCTCCACCTGCCCTATGACCACCTACCCTTCCCTTCCCTGCAAGCCCCCCACTCCTGTTGAGGTGGGGCCCTGATTTGGAAAACCTCCAAATTAATAATTTGGGGGACCACTGCTGTTCACAGTCATTCACTCATTAGGACTTTGGGACCACGCCACCTGGGTCTGGATCTCTGCATTAACCTCACAGAGTTATTATGACGATGAAAAGATACATAACACACATAATATAGTACGGATTCTATATGTATCTATACTTGCAAAGTATATATGTACCTTAATACGCTCTGTACACCTATTAGCTGTTATTGCTATTATTCATTTGTTTTACTATCCTTAAATACTCTTCTCAGTGAGCCCCACCCTGCCCTACCTTCCTTTTTGAACCCCTTATCCAGGAGGCTGACAGGTGGCTGGGACAGAAGCCTTCCAGGAAGTTGTGGGGGCCCACAGGGGGGCTCGCCAGGCCAAGGGCCATCAGGGTTGGCTCCCCTGGCGTTTACATCATGACTGAGCACCCACACTAACTGCCATCTCTACCCTCTTCACTTTGAATGCCAACCCTGATGCCAAGGCCAGCCCTGTGTGACCAGAACTTACTCCCCAGCCCTGGGAGTCCCTGTCTCCAGCACACAGGACATTTCTGAGGGGCTGGGTGGGCAGGGTGGCAGGAGGGATTCTGTCCCCTTGTTCCCTCACTGCAGGCTGCCCCAAGAGATACAGAGACCCCTTCTCTGGGCCACCAACCCCTCTGATGGAGACAGCAAGGACGGTGCTTCTAGATCAGTGTTGACGAACCTATGACAGGTGTCTCAGAGTTGACACGCGAACTCATTTTTTTGGTTGATTTTTCTTTGTTAAATGGCATTTAAATATATAAAATAAATATCAAAAATATGTCTTTGTTTTACTATGGTTGCAAATATCAAAAAATTTCTATGTGACACGGCACCAGAGTTAAGTTAGGGTTTTTCAAAATGATGACACGCCGAGCTCAAAAGGTTCGCCATCGCTGTTCTAGATGCTGAGAAACTGGGAAGTGACTCTTGGGAGATGGAAAATCCCACCTCCTGATCGGGAGGCTGGGAAAGCACCTGGTTCCCACACGTTTGTGGGAGATGGGCCTCGCTGAGGGTGCGGCCAGCACAGCCCACAACCTTAACTCCTCAGCATCAGCCTCTAAAACTCACGTGACAATTTCTTCTGGCCTTTGCAAGTCTCATCTGGGAGCAGTTTTGAGGACTCCCTGATTCGTAAGAGACAGCCAAAGGCCACAAACGGGGTGTCACCTGGTGGAGGCAGGGGCAGATGGTTCTCCATGGATGTTCCCTACACATCTCAAACCCATTGGGTCCCACTGACTCATCCCCTCCCATGGCAGCTCAGCTCATACATCCTGTCTCCCTCCATCTCTGCAGCCTCAAACCCCTCTAGCCAAAGGCTCTCACTCAGTCAGAAACCCCTGTGGAGCACCTGCTGTGTGCCAGGCCCGGGATATGTGCAAAGCAGACAAGAACCTCCCATCAGTCCCTAAACTCTGGTGGTTATCAAGTTCCAGAGTGGTCCCTGGTAGCTCCTCTTGCTTGGCCCCAGTCAAGGGAAGCACCACCCCCACCCTACTCCCCCAAGAGGGCACTCAGCACAATGGTGACTCCTTCCCCCAAAGCCTTTCTCCAGCTTCTCCAAACCCCACATCTTGTGTAGGCTGGGGGTGCACGATGGCAAATTCTGGGTGAACCATCTGGCATTGAGTCTCTTAGCATGATCTGCACAGGTGGCCCAGGAATCTCTCTTCAAGGTGGAGTTTGATCTTAGCGTCCACCACATTGTACCTGCCATTGGGGAGTCTGGTCAAACTCAGCGGTAGCACAGGGAGGCCCTTTAACCCGCTGCCACAGTCCAGATCACCTGGCCCCTCTCCTCCTGCCCCTCAGCCCAGCCCTGGCTTTGACCTTGGCCATTCTCACTTGCGATGCTCCAGTGGCCTCCCAGCTGGTCCTCTGGCCTTCAGGCTCTGACGTTCTAATCCAGGGGTCCTCAAACTACGGCCCGCGGGCCACATGCAAATACAAATGTTGTATTTGTTCCCGTTTTGTTTTTTTACTTCAAAATAAGATATGTGCAGTGTGCATAGGAATTTGTTCATAGTTTTTTTAAAAACTATAGTCCGGCCCTCCAACGGTCTGAGGGACAGTGAACTGGCCCCCTGTTTAAAAAGTTTGAGGAATCTAATCTGTTCTTTATGGTGTGCTCAGGGCCAGCTCTCAAAAGCATAAGTTAGTCATGTTATTCTCCCCAGTCTAGTAGTTCTCAACCAAGAGGTGACTTTGACCCCTGCCCCAAGGGACATTAGCAATATCTGGAGATGTTTGGGGTTGCCACACTTGTAGGGGGTTGGGGTAGGTGCTACTGGCATCCCGTGCATAAAGACTAGGGGTGCTCCTAAATATCCTACCATGCACAGGACTTCCCCCAAAACAAGTTATCCAGCCCAAAAGGCTGATAGATGCTGAGAAACCCTAGTGCATGGCTCACCTCAGCCTTCAGACTGAGCTCAGTCTCTTCAGTGAGATGCAGGAGGCCTTTGCCCCGGGCCCAGCCTGCCCACAGGCAGATCTCCCCTGACTCCACACTCCAAGCACCTTAAAGGACCCCAGGTTCCTACCTCCGTGCCTTGTCCAACAGGTTCGTAAGCCTGGGATGTCTTTCCCTCCTGTTTGCTTGGTGATCACCTCTTTGTCTTTCAAACTGAAGCCCAGTTCTCTAGCTGTGAAACTTGCCCTTAACCATACCCCACCCACCCAGGCAGGGTTGGGACTTCAACGGACCGTTAGCATACACTCCCCTCGGTCTGGTTTTGTCACTTCACCTGCCCCTCTTCTCTCTTAGTAATTATGATACCAGCAATCAGAGGACTGCAGATGTTGTGCTGGAACAGCAGGGTCAAGCTTTATAGTGAGTTTGCGTGGCTAGTAAAAGGCACAGTGATTCAAACCAAGCTTAGCTGCCTTAAAGCCTCAGCTGAGCTGCCTCTCACGCTGCTGGACTGTGCGGTCCCCCAGGGTGGGGGCTCGGTCACGGCCCCCTCTATTTCCCTGGTGAGTGGGTGATACACAGAGGGAGGGGCTCAAGAAAGTTCAAGTGCATGAGGACTTCATGTAGGACTAGTGTATGCAGGAAACAATACAGGGGTGAGTGAGTGAATGAATGAATGAACAAATGAATGAGTGAATGAGTGGATGTCAGGGTCAAGGCCCAGGAATCCAGCCAAGTCCAATCGCTCCCAGGCCCCACCCACTCAACCTGGTCTCGCAGACCATGCATGTCTTAGACCCCAGCCCCCCAATGCAGGAAAAGCCCTCTTGCTCCTCAGTAATGGATAATGAGCTGGCTTCTAGCAGCTAGGACCATGGGCTGCATGCACAGTATCTGTAACCTTGGCCCAGGCTCCCCTGGAGCCTTTCCTCACTTCCCAGTGTACCCCCTAGCCCTCAGAGAGCCCCGCATCACCTAACTAGCTGATGACTGTGCTTTGCAAGCAGTTGTAGATGAAGGCTCAGCAGCAGCAGATATATATAGAGAGAGGCATAGGGGCGGGGCTAGAGGGGCATATATATGAAGAGGTTATATGCAAATTAGGCCGGGACGCCATAACGGTCACAACGGACAGGAGGAGGTTGCACACGCAGGTGAGGCCCAGAGTGGAGACGGAGACGGAGACAGAGACAGAGGGGCCTGCCCGAGCCACTGCGGCAGCTCGGGCAGCCCCGGAGCGGATACAGGCAGGGTGGCCGGGGGGACGCTTGAGTCAGGCGCGGGTCCCAACCCCCCCACAGGGTGCCTCCTTGCACGGTGGGAGGTGGGGCGCCTCCTCACGCGATTTCAATCATGCGCTGGGCCTCTAGTCACAAATAATAGCCAGTCTGTCCACCAAGATTTACTGAGCACCTACTATGTGCCGGGCATTCTAGTGAACTCTCCAGCTTCAGCCAGCATTAGAATCATCTAAAAGGCTTCTTGCACTTGCAGATTCCTGGGTTCCCTCCCTTGTCTGACAACCCGGCTTTTTCCTGAGCCCCCGGGTGACTGACAGGCACCTTCTGGGAAACACTGCACAGAGGATTTAGCTGCAGCAGGTGCTGTGGCTGAGGGCGGTTTGGGAGGCATAGCTGTGGTTGTGCTGGGATTGGCAGTTCACACTATAAGGGAGGTCTCAGAACCGGCCACAAAGCCAGCTCCTTCTAGCCTGGTCCCGGCGGCCCCGGGGCATCCTGTCTTGCAGAGGCTGCTTGGGTAGCAGGACCCCCCACCCATCCCCTTCTTGGCCCACAGTCAGGGGCCTGACTCAGCCCCTCGATGACTCATGTCCTAAAATCATGAACAGGAAGAAGCACTGGGTGTTAGCCGCAGCTTTTCAACTACCTTCTTCATCTGTCCCTCCCACCCGCTCTCCCACCTCCCCTGGGGCCACATCTTGGGCTGAGCTGGCC